TGTAGTTCCTCGAGTACAGATCCTTTACCTCTTTGGTTAGGTTTATTCCAAGGTATCTTATGGTTCTTGGTGCTGTAGTAAATGGAATCGATTCTCTAATTTCCCTTTCTATTTTTTCATTGTTAGTGTATAAGAAAGCAACTGACTTCTGTGCATTGATTTTGTATCCTGCCACATTACTGAATTGTTATATGAGTTCTAGTAGATTGGGGGTAGAGTATTTTGGGTTTTCCATATAAAGTATCATGTCATCTGCGAAGAGAGAGAGTTTGACTTCTTTGCCATTTGAATGCCTTCTATTTCTTTTTGTTGTCTGATTGCTGTTGCTAGGACTTCTAGTACTATGTTGAACAACAGTGGAGAGAGTGGGCATCCTTGTCGTGTTCCTGATCTCAAAGGGAAGGCTGTCAGCTTTTCTCATTGAGAATGATATTTGCTGTGGGTTTTTCATAGATAGATTTTATGAAGTTGAAGAATGTTCCCTCTATCCCTATACTTTGAAGCATTTTAATCAGGAATGGATGCAGTATTTTGTCAAATGCTTTTTCTGCATCAATTGAGAGGACCATGTGGTTCATCTCTCTTATTGATTTGTTCTGTTACATTGATTGATTTGCAAATGTTGAACCACCTTTTCATCCCAGGGATAAATCCCACCTGGTCATGGTGGATTATCTTTTTAATGTACTGTTGGATCCTATTAGCTAGGATCTTATTGAGAATCTTGGCATCCATATTATTCAGGGATTTGGTCTGAAATTCTCCTTTTTGATGGGGTCTTTGCCTGGTTTGGCGATCAGGGTAATGCTGGCTTCATAGAAAGGGTCTGGAAGTTTTCCTTCTGTTTCTATTTTTTGAAACAGCTTTAGAAGAATAGGTATTATTTCTTCTTGGAATGTTTCATGGCATCATTTATTTCCTTAATTCTGTTTTTATGGCTTCTAGGCTCTTTGTTCCAGGCCTCCTCCTGGTCCTTCTTTTCTATCAGTTTGTCTTCTATGTCACTAATTCGACTTTCTGCCTTGGTTACCCTAGCTGTTAGAGTATTTAGATTAGATTGGATCTCATCGATAGCATTTTTAACTTCTGCCAGATTGGCTCTCACTTCTGCCCTTACAGATTCTATGTTGCCACTAATGGCCTTCTCCAACCTAGCCATTGCCTGGATAATTGTTACCCTGAATTCCTTTTCTGACATACTGTTTATGTCCATATCCAATAGTTCTATGGCAGAGGGCACAGTCTCTGAATTTTTCCTCTGTTGGGTGTTCCTCCTCTTAGTCATTTTGGTGAGAGGTGGTTGAGGGGATGTATAGCTGAATATATCAACCACGATCCAGGCAAGGTGCACCTGGGAGCTTAATATATTGTTTTCCCCTGATGTTGGGGTTTTACAGTTTTATGGGGACCCTGTGGTGGTTGCCTTCTTGTTCTTTTGGCTTGTCTTCTAGGGGAGGGCCTGCTGCATTGTTTTCCGGTCAATCTTGCTTGGGTTGAGTCCCCCTTCCCCCTATGAAGGGGCTGGGCTCTGTGGAAACTGGTTTTTCAGCCTTTTGTTCTTCGGGGATTTTTGTTCTTTGGTGGCTTTTTGCGGCTTTTCAGAGGGTCAGAGCAAAGAATCTGTCTGCACCCAGACCTCCGCCTCAGAGAAAAGCCTCAGATGTTCCCCTCTGGGTGGTCCAGAACACACAGACAGACCCCTCCCACCCCCCGCAAACTGCGCTGAACAGTGCAACCTCCCACAGGCGGTGTGCACCCCAGCCATCATCCCAGAGGTCACACAAAGCCCCCACTTGTCTCTGCACCCCCGTGGCACTAAAACCACGAGCGATATTGGTCCAGAGAGTCTGCTTCTGGTGGCTGCCTTTGCTGGGACTGCTGTCTGGGGTCCAGGCCCACACCAGGTGTGCTCAGACCCCACAGCCATGCAGGTCATGGAGGTCTGCAGGCTGAGGAACCCTGACTGGAGATCATGCTGGGTTCTCTCAGTTGGGGGCTAGATGCGCTCAGACCCTGCAGTCATACAGGTTGCAGAAGTCTGCGGGCCTAGGGATCCCAACTGGAGTTCACACTGGGCTGTCCCATGTGGGGGCGGGAATGCACCCAGCCCAAGCGGTGGTGCAAGCAGCAGAATACCCCGGGCTCAGGGACCACGGGCTGAGGGCCCCATGAGACACACTCTGTCATGGGTGGTCACCAGTGGTGACCATCTTATCATGTGGGCTTAGACCCATGCCAGTGACCAGCGGATCCCATGGGTTGCCCCTTAAGATCTTTTGCTCTTTTTGGAGTGCTTTTAATCAGACTCCTAGTTAATACTGGTCCCCAATCACAGGACACTTTTGTATTGGGGTAATACTTTCCAATGGGTCACTTCCGGTGGCTCCCTCCCCCTTCTGTTTATTCTCTGGTATCAGTCTGAGCATTCCCACTCCACTTTACCTCTCCACTGGTATCTTCTGCCCCCGTAGAGATCCAGAAGTGTAAACTCTTGTCTGATTTCATGGGTGTTCAGAGTGTTCTGGTAGATATTTAGCTCACTTTAGGGGACCAGTTAAAACAGGGTCTCCTACTTCTCTGCCATCTTGCCCCTCCTCCTTAACTAATTACTTTTAACACCCTCCTTTACTCTGAGTAGTCCTTGTTTACATGATAAATGATATGAAATTTTAACTTTGGATTATTTACACTGTATACTTCAGTGCAATGCCTTGATAGAAAATTCTTTATTTTCTGGGATTTATTCCAAACAATACTTCAGTATGAATATCTGAGTATCATGAAGAGATACTTGCTGCAATTATAGCCTCAAAGTATACTACCCAACAAGTTAACCTAGAGTTCACAGAACAAAAAGGCTCAAGAACACAGTTAAAATGTTTGAATCACACAGTTTATTAAATCATTTAAAACACACAGCAAATAGTGAAGGGGATTACAGAATAAATTAACAAATTTAGGGTATGGTGAATGGAAGGACCATACTACCTGAATCTAAGATGCACAAGGTGCATAGTAAGTTTTGTGTCTCTCTTTGTTCAACAGCATTAGTTTTCTCTGCTGGTGATGTGGTGATGAGGACCAGGGTTGAGGTTTAAGCAGATGGGCCCACAGATAGAAAGTGCTCTAGCCAATGATACAGACTTGCTCTTTCAGAAAGACACAGGGTCAAGTACCTCTAGATAATAGTTATAGCTTGTCATTAAGGCCATTGAAGAGCCATAGGTTTTGTGTTCCTTGAGCAGAGGACACATAAGACCTAAATGGGTATCACCAATGAGTTGCCAAATTAAAGTCATTTGAATATTGAGTCTCATGAATATTTATCATATCTTGAATATTTAGTGCTTCTTTTAGTGTCCCAAGCAATTTTAGAGTATCATAAATATTTAGAGCTTCTTATATATTTAGTCTAACAGATAAATTTAGTGAACAGGTTCTTCATGTATATTTAATGCCCCATGAACATTACATATTGCTCAGTCCTTCCATTCCTTTCTAACTTACATATCCTTTACTTAAATACTACTTATCCATACTGCAAACATCTTAAAAGATTGAGCCCATGTTTTATAAACTACAAACTTGAACTAATGTACTTACTTAACTTCTGTAATAGAAGAATTAAATGTTCTCAAAAGCAAATGCATATTACACTGGATTAACATATTAAGTAAAATCAGATACATCTCTCATAATTAAGGGAATAACAGGGACACTGAATTTTAAATAAATATCTGTGATATTTTAAATAACTTAGAATCCCCAAGCCACTAATGTCTTGTTTAAATTACTTTACTCTGTAAAGTCTGAATTTTGGGAGTTAAGGGAACAATTCTGTTTCCATGATAGCTGATGACGCAAAGGTCTCTTGCTACTTTGTTCACAGCTGTTGAATATCTACCAAATAAATAAATGATTTTTTCATAATTTGGATATTCATATTTCATATTTAGGTCATATTTGAACTTTTCATGTACTTTCATTTCTTTCTTTGAAGGAGGAGAAGTTAATGTCAGCGATATTGAAAGTATTCTGGAAAAATCTGGGATAGAGCTCACAGACAAGGAGTGCTTAGAACTAAAGAAGTATCTGCCAGTTGATGGTGAGCATTTAAAATAATGATGTAGACTTTAAGGAACTTAGATGTGTATTTCTTTTTTGTAAACTTCCAGAATTATCCCCATTTTATAAAGAAAAAGAGGATTAGAAGGAATCATGCAGTTCTATCTTAAGAAGTAATCCCAGCTGTGTCACTTTATAGTATCTTTGGACCCTTCAGTCGGGAGAATTAACCTTGTATTAAGTCAAGGAAGTGCCTATTCTAATTTCTGATTCCAGTCAGAAGGCATCCTCAAGAATGAACAGGGATTTATGGGGAAGTAAAAAGAATGAGAAAATACTAGGAGGAAAATGAAGACATGAAAGGAAGACATAGAGAATTAAGATGTGTGTGTTTCAGCATAGTAGAGCTCCAGCAGTAACAATTAAGATGTGTGTGTTTCAGCATAGTAGAACTCCAGCAGGAGACAGAATTTTCTCTACTTGTTACATTTTTTGGTTATTTAAAATTAAATTAGGCCTTTTCTGGGGTAAATTATGATGTCTTCTAAAATTAAGGTTTTCGTAATGTCTCGTTTAATCTCTCATCGGTGTGGTCTGATTTGTGTCTTCCTTACAGCTGTTGGAAAGGTGTACCAAAATAGGGTGATGGATGGTTTGAAAACTCTTAAAGGTAAGTAATAAGTATAATGAAAAAGGAGATGAATCTGAAGCTGAAAAGCAGATGAAGAGACTTTTGCACACTTAATTTATATTCCTGCCACCATGTATGTGTGTGCAAAACCATATTAATGTTTTTTCCAAAGATCTTTTCTGTATATATCTTACCAAATGGCCTCCTGTACCATTCTTTAACCTTAAGATGGAAATGCAAACCCACATAAAAGTAGGACTTTGAATAACTTTACCCCTAATGAAATGGAAAACTAGAAAACTATCTAATCAGCACAAGTAGATAAAAGGAAGTTTATCTGTATAGTCACAGACTCTAAGATCATGAAGAAATGTCTTTGAAAATTTATGACAGTGGCCCTATGCTCACATTGGTTCCAGTTCATATTTGCATGAACCAGAAACTCACAAAAAAATTAACAAAAAGCACCAGCATTGTAGTAACTCTAGAGTTTAAGAAATACACTCTCATATCATGGTCAGTAAGATTTTCCCTATAAAACCTTTTTTAAAATGATCTTGAAACAGAAAATTACAAAAGATATGAAAAAAAAACTATGTCCAATTAATACCAATATATACAATAAAAAGACTGAACTCAAAAGATTTCCCATAATACAAATATTTTAGATAGGCTATAAAATAAGTATGCTTTAAATGATTAAATTCATAAAAGAAAAATGGGAATAATTTTAAAAGAAATAGAAACTACCACAGGAAAAAGGAGATTTGAAAGGAGTCAAAATAACATTTCAAGAAATGAAAAGCCTAGCCTGAAAAATTAAAAAACACAATGGTATCATTAACAGATTAGAGATAACCAAAGAATTAATTAGATAACTGGAATAAAACTCGGAAAAAATTGCCAAGATTCCAGCATAGAGACACAAAGATTACAAATAGGAAGGAGGAGTAGGAGACATGAGGGTCAAAGTGGGAAATCTGCCAGTTTATCCAATAGTAGTACAAAGAGCGAACAGAGAGAAAGAAGGAAAAGGCTGATTTGAAGACCTAATAGTTGGTAATTTTTTTGTGATTGTTGAAAGACAGGGATCCTAAAATACAGGGCACATAATGAATCCTAAATGTTAATTAAGAGGTCTCTGCTTAATCATATAAGGAATTCACAATTCCAAAACAAAACAACCCCCCGCCGAAGAATGCAACCAGGGTTCATTCTGACTACCCACAAATGAGTAACAATTAGACTTGTATTGGACTACAATGAGATGCCACCTCAGACCCCATAAGATGTCTCCTTTCAAAAGAGGAACAGAATATAACAAGTGTTGGTGAGAATGTGGAGAAAATGGAAGCCTTGTACACTGGCAGTGAGCATGTGAAGTGGTACAGCCACTATGAAAACAAGTATGGCAGCTCCGCAAAAGCTTAAAAATGAAATTTCTACATGATTCAGCAATTCCACTTCTAGGTATATGTCTTAGTTCACTCAGGCTGCTTTAACAAACTGCCAGAGACTAGATGGCTTATAAACAACAGAAATTCATTTCTCACAGTTTTGGAGGCTGGAAGTCCAAGATCAAGGTGCCAGCATGGTCAGGTGAGGGCCCTCTTCCAGGTTGCCGACTTCTCATTGTATCCTCACAGGGTGCAAGGGGCAAGGATCTCTCTGGGGCACTTTTTATAAAGACTAATCTCTTTCAGAAGGGCTCTGCCCTCATGACCTAAGCCCCTCCTAAAGGACCCACTTCTTTTTTTTTTTTTTTTCTTTTCAGCGTAACAGTATTCATTGTTTTTGCACCACACCCAGTGCTCCATGCAATACGTGCTCTCCTTAATACTCACCACCTGGCTTCCCCAACCTCTCACCCCCCGCCCCTTTAAAACCCTCAGATTTGTTTTTCAGAGTCCATAGTCTCTCATGGTTCACCTCCCCTTCCAATTTTCCTCAACTCCCTTTACTGTCACTTTGGGCATTTGGTTTTCAACATATGAATTTTGGAGGTACACACACATTTAGACTATTGTGTATATCCTAAAGCGTATATCCAGCATTATTGAAGAGCCAAAAGATGGAATCAATCTATGTGTTCATCAACCTTCAAAAGAAGGAGATTTTGGATGAGCCTGGAAGATATTTTGCTAAATGAACAAGCCAATCGCAAAAAGACAAATATTGTCTGATTCAATTTATGTATGATGCCTAGAGTAGTTAAATCCACAGAGACAGAGGCTGGGTGTGGGGAGGAATGGGGAGTATTGTTTAATGAGTAGGGACTTTTGATTTGGGAAGAAATGGTTAAAATAATAAATATATATTATTCATATATACATATATATATGTATGTATGTATATATATATGTGTGTGTGTGTATATATATATATATATTTTTTTTTTTTTAAGTAGCAGGAAAAGATACCTGGCTTTAACAGGGTAATAAGGGATAATATGAATAACCACATGTCAGTAAGTTTGTTAACTTAGATGAAATGGTAAGCCACTATGTCCTAACAGTAAGCAAAAGGCCAAACAAATTTAAAAATCAACTCTTCTTGGATCCACATGAGAAATGAGGTCACAGGGAAACTGTGTCACCCAAATTGGAAGGAAAGACATGCAAACCACAACTTACTGAGCAGAAGCCTCTCTGAGAACCAGTGGCAGGACAGGAAAACCTAAACTGTAATTGATGAATTGCTAGAGGATCAGTGCGGACAAGTCTAAGAGTCAAAAATTTGTAGGGTACCGGGTCATAGAGGAAGTGCCCATGCCTTTGTGGGTTTTACCGCTCGGAGCTCAACCAGGTTCTCACAGTGAATATTGAAGAATCTCAAGAAGCTTCTGGCACGTGGGCGGGGTGGGGGGGAGGAGAAACAATTTTGAAATGCACCTTCATAAAAAGGTTGCCCTAAGGAGAAACTATTTAGTCATAGCCTAAATTGCTGAGGTTTTATCAGACCATAACTGACCTGGGGTAAGGGAGATACCCAACTTAAGCACATTTTGGCATAGCACATGTGATGTTCACAGTCCAGAGGCAAAGGCTTGTGAAAAAATTGAGACTTAATCATAGGATTATAGTATGTTTCCCTTCCCCATACATCTTATCACCTGATCACCTGTTCATAGCAGTTATTTTTACCCAGTACATTATGTGAAGCTATCAAGAAAAAAAAAAATCACAAAAATGGAAAAAAAAATCACAAGAATTGTAAAAGGTAAAAAACGCAAATGGAAGAGAGAGCATGCATTAGAACCAGATTCAAATTTGGCAGGGATGTTGGAATTCAAAACAATTATAATTAATATGCTAATGGATAAAGTAGAGAGCAGGCAAAAACAGATGCACAGTGTAAGTAGAGAGGTGGAAATCTAAGAAAGAAGCAAAAGAAAGGCTAGTGATCAAAACCATTATGACAGAAATGAAGAATGCCTTCGATAGGCTGAATACCCTTGATTTAAGAAAAGGCCAAAGATTTTCTCTGACAGATTTCACTTATCATTATATTCTGTAGCTCCAGCCATGTCAATGCAAATGGCAAGATCACATTCTTTTTTGTGGCTGAATAACAACCTCACCGAAGAAGATACACAGATGGCAATTAAACATATGAAAAGATGTCTACATCTTATGTCATTAGAGAAGTACAAATTAAACCATAATGAGATACCACTACACACTCATTAGAAAGGCCAGAATCCATAAGAACAAGCCAAACAACTAGTATTGAAGTGGACAAATATGAGATCAGACATTGGACAAAAGAGGAGATCTCTGCGGGGCCAATCACTTATAAAAAGTATTTCATTTCACACGTAATTGTGGAAGTCTAAGTTAAAACAACAATAAAATACTAGTTCACAGATCTCAAATGTACCATAATTGTAACAGTCAAGCCACCCTAAGCTATGGAAGTAGTATGGAGTAATGGAAATTCTTGTACACTGCTAATATTGATAGTAGCACTTTCAAAAGCAACTGGATAAAATCTCAAGAAATTAAAAATATATGTATTCCACTCCAACTAATCCACTCCTAAATATATTATTCAGATTCTTACCCTCATCAACAGAGACATTCACAAGAATGCATGTTGCAATGTTTTCTTGTAATGACAAAAATTTGGGTACAACCTAAGTGTTATCTATTGGAGAATGGTAAGTATATGATGGCATAACATTATAGTAGAATAATAGTATTTAAAATGAATGAAGGGAGCCTGGTTGGCTCAGTTGGTTAAGCATCCAACTCTTGGTTTTACTCAGGTCATGAGATCAAGCTCCGCATCTGGCTCATGCTGAGCATGGAGTCTGCTGGAGATTCTCTCTCTCCCCCTCTCCTTCTGTGCCCCCCCACTGCTCTTGTTCTCATGCTCTCTTTAAAAATATAAATGAATAAATAAAATAAATGAAAATGTTCCATGTTTCAACATGGACAAATATAAAAAACAAGAATTCAATGAAATTGCATGTGGCAAAAGGAAACTCACAATGTGATATGATTTATATAAACTTTAAAAGTTCTGCAAAACCGGGGCACCTGGGTGGCTCAGTTGCTTAAGCAACTGCCTTCAGCTCAGGTCATGGTCCTGGAGTCCCGGGATTGAGTCCCGCATCGGGCTCCCAGCTCCACAGGGAGCCTGCTTCTCCCTCTGACCTTCTCCCCTTTCATTTTCTCACTCTCTCTCTCTCTCTCTCTTTCAAATAAATAAAATCTTTAAAAAAAAAGTTCTACAAGACTGTTTAACATAATGGCAGTAAAACATGCATGGGCATTATAAACACTTACATAAGTCAGTAAGTCACCCTGGGAAAGGTGGGGAAAGATGGGGAATGAGGAGGAACATAGAAGATATTTTTATTGTATCTGTTCTGTTTATTAACAATGCTGGGTGAAATACACAGGTGTCAGTGATGTCATCATAAAAATCTGTATCCCTATAATTCATAAACTAACAAAAAATGAGAGGAATTATTAGACATTTTTTGGAAAATGTATTCAGAGGAAAGAACCATGTGAACTTTTTAAAAAATATTTTATTTATTCATGTGAGATGGAGAGAAAATGGCAGAGGCAGAGGGAGAAGCAGTCCCAGTGTAGAACTTGATCCCATAATCTGAGCCAAAGGCAGACATTTAACTGACTGAGCAACCCAAGCTTCCCCCTTGTGAATTTCTGTTAAAGAAACAAATACAATACTTTTCCTACAGCAGCATATGAATTTTATTTTCTCTATTTCTGTAAATAGTCTTGAAGTTGTGCCACAACCCTTAATAGCTAATTATAGAAATTGATTCCTCCACCCCCCAAAAAAAAACTCAGTGGAGGAAATTCCAGTTTCACTGTTATTACTGACAGTTTTTATACAACTGAATAGACAGTCAACCTTATTCTTTAAGGTGTAGCCGATATTTATAACACACAGTAATTCATACCTTTCATCACATTCTAATATTCAATTTTGCTTTTATTTTTCTCTTTCTCCCAAGGAGGGATTGTTGATGGTGCCAAACTAGACACTGCTTTGCAAAGCATGGGAATGAAACTCACAGGAATGGAAAGTAATGATTTGATAAAGAACCTACCTGTTGATGGTGAGTAAGCATATAAATTTTGCACTACTAATTACAACTTGAGGTGTGAGCTCCTATAAAATCACCTCTGAAAAAAATTTATTTGCCAGTAAGAAGATAATTTATTAGAAACTTAAGAATGAGCTCAAAAAGAAAATAAAGTAATATTATTTCTTGTCATTTTATTAACATGTAGTATCAGCCTTTTAAATTTTGGATCCAAAGAAATACTGAAAACACAGAAAAATCCTGTAATTGCGACTCATAAAAAGTGATGGAAAAACAAGTAATTAGGGACAAAATAGCATGAAAAATAGTCTGGAAGGAGATTAATGCAGAAGCAATAGGAAAATAAAAGAGAAAATGTGGGAGATTATTAACTTGAGAGACACATTTCATAGCCATGTGATAGCACTCTTCACTTTCTCAGAGTCAGGGGTCTTCAAACATGCAGGCTCTAATATAGAGAATTTTGCCTTTTTATGAAGCTGTCTCATATTCTACTCCCTATTTCAGAGTCCATGATCTAAAGGCCATCTGTTCTTGGCCATCTCCCTTGATGAATTAGAAACAAACTCTGAGATACAATTAAAGCTGAATTAGGACTGAAATGCAGTGGACTAATGAAAATATGATGCTAAGTGAAACAAGTCAATCACAAAAGATGATATGTTGTATGATTCCATTTATATGAAATGTCCAGAATAGACGTAAATCTACATTTAGATCTGTATTACTACATATTAGTGTTTCTGTTTGGATTTCAGAAATGATCTCTTCATATAATATATTGACACTTAGTAGTCGTTCCTGACATTTTCCCTGACACAGATTAGTGATTGCCTATTATTGAGGCTGGGGCAGTAGGTAGGAACTGCAAACTAATGGTATGGTTTTTGTTTTGTTTTATTTGTTTTCTAATGAAGTTTCTCTTTGTGATGATGAAAATGTTCTGAAATTAGGTTGTGGTGATAGTTGCAGGATTCTGTGCATATCCTGAAAATGTTCCATTTGTATACTTTAAATGATTTGATTGCTTGCTATGTAAATTATATCTGAACAAATTTTAAAAAAATGAATAGCCCGCTCTATATTTTTAGAGCCAAAAGAAAATAAAGAACAAAAATAACATGAAGCTTCTATTTAAATATTTGTCATCTACAATTAAAAAATAATATTTTATGCAAATGCAATGTCTTAGTTGTTTTTTGTCTAATAAAGAAAAGTAAATCTGAGATTCTATAGTATCCTAAATTTCTGAGTTAATTCTATCTTTGTAATATGATTTCATGTTAATGTTTTTAATGTTAATAGTATACATTTAAAAATATACAGAATCTCTACATTTAAAATTACCTCAAGCTAATCACTGAGGTGTTTTCCTGGTTTTTTTACTTACATAGAATAAAGGAGTAAGAAACTCTATCAAAGAAAAGTCAAGAACTGCTAAGTATCAGCTTATTACATACAGAGATCATTAGAACAGCCAAATACCAACATTAATATATAGCAGACACAAATTGTAAATCCTATTCTTTGTGCTTGAAGTAAACAGTAGAGAGTTTTCAAATGCATAGGAATCATGAAGCAGACTCTACAGAAAATGTGATTTAATTTTATATCTCATCCTTAACTGTCAGACGTTTAATTTCCTACAACCCAATGAATTAAAGCTCTAGTAATATTTTAGAACTTCTGGCTCATGGTAGAGATGAATATATGATAAAATATTAGAATATAATTAAACTGTCTTATTCTTAAGATTTCATATCACTAATGAGTGTCTGTGTTACATCTGTGTTTGAATTACATGTGTTTCTTAACAGATAATGGGAAGATTAAAATGAAAAAGTTAATGGACGCATTGAATGCTTTTTCTGGTGAGTGGCAAGTTACTATAAAATTGTACTATTTTGTTAAAAAAATGGAAAAAAAACAGAAAGGCAAACCAAGAAACAGACTCTACACTATAGAGAACATACTGATGGTTACCAGAAGGGAGGAAGGCAGAGGGATGGATGAAATAGGTGATGGGGACTAAGGAGTGTACTTGTTGTGATGAGCCCAGGGTGTTGCATGGAAGTGACAAATCACTATATTGTGTACCAGAGTCTAATATTACAATATATGCTAACTAATGGGAACTAAAAACAAAAAAAAATTGTATCATCTTAAAAATATCATTTCAACTTGCCCAAACTGTAATATTTTATCTTTATATTATATTTCATCAAATACTTATTTTGAGAATCCTATACTGTACTTATCTGCACAACTTAAAATTTTAAAATACAATTAAAATTCTGTATTTTGATAAGAAATTTGGCAGATACTTGTAATCTCTGTCAAATACATAAATAAATCTTAAAAAAAAAAGAAATTTGGCAGAAATGTTTTTAGTAAGGCAGTAATATAATTTACCTCACCAATGTTCAAAAAACCTCATACCTAGACAGGTATATAAAGAGAAAATTCATATAATTTAGACTCTCCCCATAATTCTAAGTTCCCCTGCCAAAAATAAAAATTTATATTATTTCCATTATTCTAATTTGCGGGCCAAGTAAAGCAAACTTACACTCTGCTGCATTAGATGCACACAAATCCATTGCTGAGATATTCCTTTTTTTTTTTTTTGAGATTTTAGTTGTTTGTTTGAAAAAGAGATAAAGACAAAGCATGAGCAGGTTGGAGGGGGCTGTGGGAGAAGAAGCAGATTCGCCTATGAGTGGAGAGCTCAGATGCAGGGCTTGATTCCAGAACCCTGAGATCATGACCTGAGCTAAAGGCAGATGCTTAACCCACTGAGCCACCCAGGTGCCCCTGGAGTATTCCTTTTATGACATTAAGGACCTGTATTCTGTTTGTGGTTTCCCTGTAATTCTGTGTAGTTGTATGTGTCTCATTTTACCCATTCACTACTTCCAAGTTGAAAGTGATCATTTTGTCATTATTTGGAATCATTAGATTCCAAATTGTCAAGCACTGATGTTCCTGTCTTTTGAAAGGAAAAAAGATTGATGCCAATGACCTACTAGAAGTTCTGCGAAACATGGGGATTGAGCTCACCAAGGAGGAATTTGTGAAGCTGAAACAAATTGTGTCAATTGACGGTGAGCCGTATGAGGGCCAGGGTAGCCTTTCTAGGGAGCTGGGTTCTGGGGGTCATTGTAGGCTGTTCTACAGTGTTGTGTCTTTATTTCTTCTATAAAATACTGAAAATGATTTTTAAAAAGTAAGTTCACTGACATACAGATTAAACCTAGGGGTCACCAATTTCTTGCACTGAGATTTTGCCGTCAGAGCTGATGAAGACTATAATAAGGCTACTATTACCCTCTCATGAGAGGGCCAAAGGATAGGAAGGGAAACGAAGGAAATTGAGGGGAGTGAGAGAATAGGGGAAAAAAAAAAAACAGGAAAAGGACCCAGAGAACTAGTGATTTTTTTTTTCTGCACAGTATTCTTTCCATCAGTCTTCTTGATTGCTCAACACTGTATACATTTTTGTCAGCAGACCATACTCTTAGTCCCAAAATAATTTTCATTTGATGCAAAGATGGAACAGACTTCCCAGGCAGAGTAAAAAGCTTTCTGACTGGAATTGCCCAATTGCCCAATAATGCTGTGACTGTCCATGTTCTTTTGCTTCAGATATAAACTGTGCTTTCTCTGTTTTCTAATAGCTGCTGGAAAGGTGTATCAGAACAGATTGTTGGATGGGGTGAAGTCATTAAAAGGTACTTAAGAACCTTGGTTAGCAGGAGAGTCTGCTACATGTCAACACAAATACCAGCACAGACATATTTACCATCAGGTTCTGAATCCTGTCTACATTCCTATGTTTAGATCTTTTATTTCCTTACATTCACCACACAGTACTTTTACCTAATCAACCACGCTATAGCATTGCAAGGAATCCATTCTCTCTTGAATGGATCTGAAATCTGCTTTATACAACAAATAATGTAGATAATATCATAGGCAGTCTTTCCAGGGATTGGCCCAACAACAACACCACAAAGGAATTTGGAGTGATCTTTTATATCATTTATTGCATGAATCAAGTTATTTTCTATAAAACATTCTTACTCAAAGCCCAGTTAGCAAGAACAGCAGCAACAACAAATGTAGAAAAGAAGCATGGCATTGTGGCCGAGATACGTTTTTACTTCCTCTTCCTATCGGTCCTTGGAAAAAGAGGTAAGAAGGGGAAGTAGGAAGGCAGAGAGGAAAGGTTGCAGGTTTTGCTGCTTACTATTTGATGAGAAAGTCTCCTGCAGGTGGCTGGTCTGCCATCCCAGACCTTTGGAATAATGACAGTCAGCAGCATTCCTTGCAGAATTTTGTGGTGAATGTGTTGTGCATGACACGCTCTTCCCTCTGAGAGCACATGAATCCACATTTGTAATCTTTTAACCTTCAATACGTTTTTTGTGTATTGCAAAAGCAGAACATTGATGATCTGAAACTTGAACTATCCCTCTCAGCGGATGCCTTGACTTTCTTTTGGGGACAGACATACACAGTATTTTCTCTGTATTCCCCATGGGGACAATCCTACCATTGATATTCTTTTGGGCTCTCTTTGAACAGATGACTATTCCTTGATAGTACGAAGAATACCTTTAAATACATAATCACAGCCTGCCACCAGTAATGCTTCAACCTCAAAATATTTTTTTGCATAACCTCAGTGTCCATGGTGGGGCTTGAACTCATGACCCCAAGATCGAGTCACATAGTCTACTGCTTGAGCCGGCAAGCACCCCCAACCTGAGAATATTTTTATCTAAGTTGTTCTTGATCTCATTATAGGAGATTTGCTGCGCTAACCTTTTACACCAGTTCACTAATATAAATAAGTTATACGTTTCTCTTTACTTTTTGTCAAATTAAATGCATGTGATATAAAAAATTTACATATATACTAATCTTGTGAAATCATGTAATATTTTTTCTTCATGATTCTTTCCTGTTTGTTTCTCAAGGAGGAATGGTTAAAGCCAATAACCTAGATAATGTGCTGGAAAACCTGGGAATTGAACTCACAGAAAAGGAACGTGAAGATCTGACAGAATATTTGCCACCTGACGGTGAGGACTGTAGGTGGTAATGAACCTTGGAGAGGAGTTTACATTTAGGGGCTGGTGTCAGAGAATGCACAATAATTAGTGATATTGGGTATACCAAAAGAAAATAGAAGCATTTTGCAAAGATAGGGATAAGCCAGTCCTAATTCAAGAACAGAGAATGTATTATTTAGGGTAAACTAAATTTGAATTTAAAAACAAACATGAAAATGTGTCATGGTTAAACACAATAGAAGTTTCATTCTCTTCTCCATGAAAGTCCAAGGTAAGAGTACTCTTGGTTGACGGGCAATGGCTCTTCTCCATTCAGTGATACAGGGATCCAGGTTCTTGCCTCTTGGATTCCTTCTTAGGGCCTTTTCATTGTTTATACAAAATTAATGGAAAGGAAAAGAGCGCACAAAGGAGGGAGATGTGGCACACATCATTTCCATAACCATTCTTTTGTTGCAACTAGTCACATGACTATATCGAAATGCAAGGAGGGGTGTGGTGGGTGATGGTAGGAACATAGTATCTGGCTGTGCATCCACTTCCCTCTATAATTCTATACTATGAGAGGAAATAAGAGTTTTGGGTAGATAGTTAGCTGTTTTTTTGTTTTGTTTTCATTAACAATGGCCTAAATATATATGTACACCCTATGCTTTGAGGCCAAGTCGCACTTTCCTAAAAAGCCTCATGTGGCTACAACTCAGGAAGAGAAAATCAAACAAAATCACATGAAAATAAATCAATAAAGGAGGACTGTTTCCCGGTCATCAACATTGACTAAGAACACACATTTCCAGGTTACATCCAAAATCCAGATTGCAGCACATTGTTTTGCTTTGTCCCCACCTGAGAATTTTTGTTCTTAAAGGAGCCTGGCACCAGCCACAATTTAGACAAGCCTCAAATTCCACAATGGGGAAACTGGCTCATATCCATATTCTTCTGGTGTCATCTTAGCTTCTTTCCTCCTCTTGCACATGCTCAGCTTCTCTTGTCACCTCCCCATTCCAGCCTTATGCTCTTGCATTCCTAATCATATTTACTCTATTGTGATTCATTATATTTCATTATATTTAAAAACATCTTTCAGAAACTTTGTGAAGACATAAGGAGCAGGGGTTATGGATTATGCAGTTAGGTCTCCTCTTGAGTCTTCTGATTCATAAATTTTGGCACTCTTGCTTTGGTTAATGACTGAGTGTAATCGGTGCAATTAGCAAGACAGATCCCTGAGCTCAAAAGAGTGCCATGTATGGGGTGTAATGCTCTACTTTGGCCATCATGAAGATTCTTCATAATTTTATCTTTGAGTTTGTGTTTCCTAATTGACATCCGATGGCAAACTAGAGCTTGGCGGGGGCTTGGCACCCCAGCTCAGGCATCTATTTCTTCATTTAGCTCCTTTATCTTCTTACAACATTGCCACATCCTAATTATGATATTTCTTACAGCAAATGGGAAGATTGGTCTCAAAAATGTGATGGAAGCAGTAGAAGCTGTTACAGGTTAGTTAGAAATTTCTATATTCTAATTTTTTTCCTTTTATTTTACAATTTTTTAAATTAACATATAAGGTATTATATGTTTCAGAGACACGTCTGTGATTCATCATTCTTACACAATTCACAGCACTCACCATAGCACATTCCATCCCCAATGTCAATCACCCAGGACCACATCCTTTTACCCCACTCCCCTCCAGCAACCCTCAGTTTGTTTCCTGAGATCAAGAATCTTTTATGGTATGTCTCCCTCCCTGGTTTCATTTTGTTTCATTTTTCTCTCCCTTCCCCTATGATCCTCTGCCTTGTTTCTCAAATTCCTCATATCAGTGAGATCATGTCATGATTTTCTTCCTCTGATTGGCTTATTTCACATAGCATTATACCCTGTAGGTCCATCCATATCATTACAAAATGGCAAGAATTAATTTTTTTAAAAGATTTTATTTATTTATTAACAGAAAGAGATCATAAGTAGGGAGAGAGGAAGGCAGTGGGGGAGGGGAAGCAGGCTCCATGCTGTGCAGAAAGCCCAATGCAGGGCTCAATCCCAGGACCCTGAGATCATGACCTGAGCTGAAGGCAGAGGCTTAACCCACTGAGCAACCCAGGCACCTCAAGAATTCATTTTTAATGGCTCTATAATATTCCTCTGTGTGTGTGTGTGTGTGTGTGTGTGTGTGTGTGTGTGTACCACATCTTTATCCATTCGTCTGTTGGGGGACATCTAAGCTCTTTCCATAGTTTGGCTATCATGGACATTGCTGCTATAAACATTCAAGTGCACGTGCCCCTTCGGATCACTATCTTTGTATCTTTAGGGTCAATACCTAGTAGGGCAATTGCTGGGTTGTAGGGTAGCTCTATGTTCAACTCTTTGAGGAACCGTGGCTGCACCAGCTTGCATTCCCACCAACAGTGTAGGATGATTTCCCTTTCTCCACATCCTCACCAACACCTGTCATTTCCTGACATGTTAATTTTAGCCACTCTGACTGGTGTGAGGTGATATCTCATTGTGGTTTTGATTTGTATTTCCCTGATGCCAAGTCATGCTGAGCACTTTTCCATGTGTCTGTTGGCCATGTGGATGTCTTCTTTGCAGAGATGTCTGCTCATGTCTTCTGCCCATTTCTTTTTTTTTTTAATATTTTATTGATTTATTTAACAGAGAGAGACAGAGAGGTCACAAGTAGACAGAGAGGCAGGTGGGGAGTGGGGGGAAACAGGCTCCCCGCTGAGCAGAGAGCCCGATGTGGAGCTCAACCCCAGGACCCTGAGATCATGACCTGAGCCGAATCTTCTGCCCATTTCTTGATTGGATTGTTGTTCTTTGGGTGTTGAGTTTGATAAGTTCTTTATAGATTTTGGATACTAGCCCTTTATCTGATATGTCATTTGCAAATCCTTCTCTGATTCTGTGGTTGTCTTTTGGTTTTGTTGACTGTTTCCTTTGCTGTGCAAAAGCTTTTTATCAGGATGAAGTCCCAATAGTTCATTTTTACCCTTGCTTCCCTTGCCTTTGGTGCTGTTTCTAGGAAGAAGTTGCTGTGGCTGAGGTCGGAAGAGGTTTCTGCCTGTGTTCTCCTCCAGGATTTTGATGGATTCCTGTCCCACGTTGAGGTCTTTCATCCATTCTGAGTCTGTTTTTGTGTGTGGTGTAAGGAAATGGCCCAGTTTCATTCTTCTGCATGTGGCTGTCCAATTTTCCCAACACCATTTGTTAAGAGACTGTCTTTTTTCCATTGGACAGTCTTTCCTGCTTTGTTGAAGGTTAGTTGACCATTGAGTTGAGAGGGTCCATGTCTAGGCTCGCTGTTCTGTTCCATTGATCTATGTGTCTGTTTTTGTGCCAGTGCCATACTGTCTTGATGATTACAGCTCTGTAATAGAGCTTGAAGGCCAGAATTGTGATGCCACATGCTTTGCTTTTCTTTTTCAACATTCCTCTGGCTATTTGGGGACTTTTCTGGTTCCATACAAATTTTGGGATTATTTGTTCCATTTCTTTGAAAAAAGTTGTTGGTGTCTTGATAGGGCTGCATTAAATGTGTAGATTGCTTTAGGTAGCATAGACATTTTCATAATACTTGTTTTTCTAATCCAGGGAACATTTTTCCATTTCTTTGTGTCTTCCTCAATTTCTTTCATGAGTATTATGTAGTTTTCTGAGTATAGATTCTTTGTCCCTTTGGTTAGGTTTATTCCTAGGTATCTTATGGTTTTGGGTGCAATTGTAAATGGGATTGACTCCTTCATTTCTCTTTCTTCTGTCTTGTTGGTGTATAAAAATGCAGCTGATTTCTGTACATTGATTTTATATCCTGACACTTTACTGAATTCCTGTAAAAGTTCTAGCAGATTTGGAGTGGAGTCCTTTGGATTTTCCACCTAAAGTATCTTATCATCTGCAAAGAGTGAGAGTTTGACTTCTTTGCTGATTCAGATGCCTTTAATTTCTTTTTCTTGTCTGATGGTTGAGGCTAGAATTTCTAGTACTATGTTAATAGCAGTGGTGATAATGGACATCCCTGCTATGTTCCTGACCTTCGTAGAAAAGCTCTCTGTTTTTCTCCAGAGAATGATATTCACTGTGGGTTTTTCATAGATGGCTTTAATGATATTGAGGTATGTACCCTCTATCCCTACACTTTGAGGAGTTTTGATCAAGAAAGGATGCTGTACTTTGTCAAATGCTTTTTCAGTATCATATGGTTCTTCTTTCCTTTATTAATGTATTGTATCACATTGATTGATGCCCGGATGTTGAACCAACCTTGCAGCCCAGGAATAAATCCCACTTGGCCGTGGTGAACAATCCTTTCAATGTACTGTTGTATCCTATTGGCTAGTATTTTGGTGAGAATTTTTGCATCTGTGTTCATCAAGGATATTGGTCTGTAATTCTGTAATTCTCTTTTTTAAAGGGGTCTTTGTCTGGTTTTGGGTCAAGGCAATGCTGGCCTCAGAAAATGAGTTTGGAAGTTTTTCTTGCATTTCTATTTTTTGGAGTTTCAGGAAAATAGGAATTAATTCTTCTTTAAATGCTTGGTAGAATTCCCCTGGGAAGCCCTCTGGCCCTGGGCTCTTGTTTGTCGGGAGATTTTTGATGACTGCTTCATCTCCTTACTGGTTATGGGTCTGTTCAGGTTTTCTATTTCTTTCTGCTTCAGTTGTGGTAGTTTATATGTCTCTAAGAATGCATCAATTTCTTCCAGATTGTCAAATTTGCTGGCATATAGTTGC